TGTGCATAGCTATTTTGACTTCTAAGAAACTTTCTTTTCCTACTTTCAGATTCTGAACTGTAATCCAATAAGGACACTGAATAAAGACTCAAAAAAGTGATAAAGTCAGATTCAAACAAAAACTGTCAACGTAATCCTAGCAGACCCTAATACTGCACTGAGTACCTCTGTGAATTTTCATTCTATTTTTATGAGTGAGGAAAGGTGAGAAAATGGTATGACCATGAGGAGTGTAAAATGGAAAAGAAGATTTTATTTTTCTACTAATTATATGTGGTCTATGCTCTCATATTTACAAGCATGCATTGGCTTAGTCAGTAATTGATCCCAAGGTTGATTTGTTTTTGGAACAAGTCTCAACAAATTTTCTTAAAAAGTAAGATAAATAAGCAATGTTGAGACATCTTTAATTATGTCTCATCTTTTATTATGATTTCAGGACTGAATTCACAGAACATTAGGGAACAGCAAGACAGTGAGCTTTCCTTCCGAACTTCCCTTTTCTATCTGATTACCGTTTCCCATATATTCTTTTCCTGAGGCATCTGAAATTGCTGACTTAGGTAGAGTAGAAGATTTAGCAAAGCTAATTGCTTCTGTTATTAGAGAGACACACATGTCTATTATATTAATTGTATTAGAACTATGAATTGCTTAAAAAATAACCAAAAATAAAAATAAAAAGGATCTTTGACCCTTTCTACTTTTAATAGAGGTACTTCCATAGTCATAGGGAAGTTACTACCTCCCAGTACAAATGAAGAATGAATCTGAATGATGTGGTCTGACTGCTAATGTTTACAAGTCGATGAGGAGATGCTGTGAGATTTCCCTGAGGATGCAGTCTTGAGAAAAGGACTAGCGAAATTACTACAATCCTACCACACTGAATTAGTTGAACATGCTAATCCTCACAAATGGATAGGATTTAAGATATGATTGTGAGATTGTTATCCAATTGCATAAATCTATGTATAAATGCAGGTTCAGATTTATAGACACTGAATATAACAGAAAAAGACATAGGCATTTTCATCTAGCAACTTTTATATACATTTTAAATCATTGTTTAGAATTATTTCTCTCAATAAAAGTAGCATGCTGAAATGGAAGAATTTGTTGCAATAAAATATAAAGGCAAGCTATTACATTGCTAGCTCAATAGCACAATGTCTTAGATACTTAAATTTGTGCAGAGGGAGTTAGTTATATACAAAACTCTTTGGCCAAAACCACCACATATGCAGTTGGGAGGACACCGCTTAAGTATGGTTGAATAGAGAAGTTTTGAATCTTGCTTTTAAAAAGAAAGCCTCCTTACAAAATGCGCACAAGAGAATCACTAAAATTTCATTGTTATTTAAATAAAAGATGCAAAAGGTATTGTGGTAGTAAGTATGCATCTGTTCACCCTTAGAACAGAATTTTCAAATGCTTAGTCTTTTGAAAAATTCCTTTGCTAACCTACTTTATTACCCCATGTAACTGAATCATTTGATTTTTTCTGTGTAAATTGCTTGTAAACTTGCTTTCCATGTAATTATAATCCAAGACAGTTTAGAACACACACATACATACACATATGTACACATACACATACACATACACATACACATACACATACACATACACATACACATACACACACCTGGGTTAGAGAATCTGAGCATTTAAGAGCTATAAGGAAATTCTGAGATTTAGCAGACATGAACTGGGATCACAGAATCTGAGTCCTTGTCTCAATTCATTGTGTGCAAAATCTGGCAAGAACTTTGATGTTCAGGTTCATAGTCACTCACCTTTGTATCATATCACCCTCCTTTTTCATTTCACAGCTATTATCTATGTTTCACCTTTTGGCTTGGTATTATGCTAACATGCATTTCCTTCTTCTATACCTAGAGCGGCTCATGGTGATTTCCCTTATTTCCTCCAACACAGCAAACAGATAACACATATGGTCCAAAGTCCAATCTCATGGTGTCAGTCCAGGTCTTATTTATTGAGATGATTCTCTTCTAGGATGAAAATCACTCATTGGTTACAACATGAATGTTGTACAAGAGGAACTATTTGTTTTTTTGTAATGTATCTGTTTGGATCACATTCCTGATGGATCCATAAAAATAACACAAAATAACATCATACGCACTACTTTTGAAGTTTATACTGAGTTTCTGGTCTGAAACATTACCAATTGCACTGTGGCATGCATACAAAGCTTCTGGCAGAGTGTGTATCCAGTGAGTCATTTGAGAAATGGGGTGTCTCTGCCAGGCATTCTTTTAGTAGTCCATGCAAGATGTTACTGAAGAACTGGAGAGAAGAGGGATCAACTCTACCTCATCCTTCATGAATGAAGATCTCTAGATTAGACTCACCTCCATCATTCTTATTAATCTAGGGTAAATATGGAAATAAATCATTCTGTTTCTTTAGTCCTATTTTCTCTTTTTTTTTTTTTTTTTAGGAAAAGAAGAAGAATCTAGCACTGTAAAATACACCTGGGATCTTATCTGAGATAAAACTACAAACTACAGTAGGCTAACACAGTGGGGGCTTTATAGTCCCAAAGTACTTTAAAATATATTACCTCATTTAGACTATATCCAGATATTTAACTGCCTATGTTTGTTTTTGGGAACTGTGAAAATAAGGCCTAAGGAGATTTGTTTTCAAGGCTATGAATCTAACAAATGTTCTATTTGTTAATTGTATTTTTTAGCTATTATTTTCAGTCTTAAATTTTCTGGTTCTATACAATGCTGACAGTTTTTAGACTGTAGGTAGAATATGGTATCCTCAGTTAGGGACTATTATCACTCAACAGAAAGGGAATATATACCTTGGAAAGGGCTAAAAGCTCATGTGAATGCTTTATCGCCAGCATGCCTCTATCTTGTGCCAAGAGATCTTTTTTTCTAGTTATCCTCTAGAGTATTAAATGTTTAAATGTTTTCTGCAGCTACCCTGTTCTCTAGATCTCACGTACTGAAAGACTTACAGGTCCCTAGGAGAATATTTTGTGAGGGTCTTAAAGAAACCTACATTTGCCTTCCTTTTCTACTTGTGAGCCTTTTTGATTAAAACTCTTCCCTCACTGATGTCATCCAGATCAGCCCAAGGAAAACATTTGACAGGTCCATCTGTGTCCATAGTCACCCACAAACATGGGAAACTGCCACCCATCTGCCTCCCTATGCTTTATTTTGCTCCTGTCCTGATTGTTTTGTTCTCTTGTAGCCACAGGGGATATTAATACCCTCCTCCCTTCCAGAAATGTGAAGAGAATAGATCTATGTTAGCTTGTGCTCCTGAGAGAAAGATGTTATAGAAATAGCATATGCCATCACACTGTTATTTACATGCAATTCTACAAGTTTTCTAGTAACATCCTCACATTTTAGTCCTATTTTTCCTTGCATTTTAATGAACATGTTGCTTAACTTCCTACCTGGATTCACTATTAATCATTTCAATTTAATTATGGTTCATCGATTATTCTGCTTTTCCCAAATAGATTGTTTACTCTTAATGACAGAAATGTTATGTATTTAGGGACACTTTTTGGATTCAATTACTTTCTTGTCTATTGCCTGCATTTTATGATGTCATTTCACTAATGTTGCCAAGAGTTGAATATTTGCATTAGTTCCTTTTTATTTTGAATAACAACATACACTTTTTGGTAAAACAACACCAGTATGATTTCAAATCAGGGAAAATGCAAATCAGAGGCTTGAAGATGTAAAGCAACCCAAATATTTTCTTTATCACATTCCTGGGGCATTGTATGAAATTCCAATAGCAACTAATGATCTTATGATTCAAGCAATCCTATAAATATGATATGAATTCATAATAGCTGTCAAAATTCCAAACAAAACAAATATGTCAGTGAATTTCAAAAAGGATTATTCAAACCAATTTTAATCATTGCTTTTTTAGAAATTCATATTATATGAAATAGGTATGTACAGATTAAAGATCATTGTACAAATTTACAGCCATGCCATATGAATTTAAAATCTTTTAAGATACACATATCCACCATTGTCAGGTGGCTTTGAAACAACGCAAGAACCAATTCACTGTTTACTTGCCATTGCCTCTGATTCACTTTCCTCATCAGGTAATATCACTCCTACCATAAGTATACGTAGGAATGCTAGATTGTGATAGTGAAAATTATTTATCTTAAAGACTTTATCTTCATTTTCAAAATGTACAGCTTTTCCCCAAAGATTGATTTTATGTTGTGATTTATTTCCTGGTGCTCAAAAAATTCAAAGGACTTTAAATCTCTAAATATATTTTTGTGTATGCAATCAATTTAATATCCGTGACTAATACAAACTTCATTTTGCTCAAACAAAGGTTACTGTACATAGTATCTGAAATGACTTGATATATTTTCCATTCTTTTATTAGGTAACTAATCTTTAGGTTTAAAAAAGTTCTTTTAACTGAGATAAAGCTCAGTTAATATTTTAGAAGGCAAATTGTCATTATGGTTATTAATTCTCTCCTTGTTTTATGTGGAAACAAATTAGAGATGCTCAAAATTCTCGTTTTTTAAATTTCAAGAGTGTGTACATAATTAAACATATTTCTGTGTAAATGCAATAGCACCCTCTGGAGGTCTGAAACACTTTGCATACCTTCCATAAATCAATGTCTTCTTTTGTTATCTCTACATATTTTTGTTGGCTTAGACTTTTAATATTTTATATTCTGATAATCATATTTGTCTCAAAGTGATTAAATACATTTAATCTATTATTACTTTCTATCATGGATTCATTGTGATTTGTGTGTCATCTCATTTGTAATGCTGCAATGTAATAACAAAATAAACAATTCAGCTGACCTTGGTGATGTCTCCGTAACTTTCCTATTTTTTGTCACGCAATAATATTTTCCAAACAAGAAATAACAAGTTCCATTTTTGAAATCCCTTAGTATCTGGTTATAAGTAGACAACAGGAAACAAATTTTACCTCCTTTGAAGATTCCTCATGAAAACAGTTACTTTCATTCTTCAAGTCCCTGACGAACAAACACAGCTGTGGTTTTTCTGTGGTTTTGAAGCTAATTTATCAGAGATGGGAGAATTTGGAAAGGAGCAGAGGTCAGAAAACATCGGAAAAAATATCATGAGTCACTGGAACACATTCAAGGACCAAAGTGACTTCTATTGTGCCATAATAATATAAATAAATCATCCCATAATCATTGGCCTCTCTGCAACAGCTCTGCATACAAAGGGCTTTTTGAAGTTCAGGGAGATGCAAACAGAGCTGGTCATCCACTATAAAGAAGGGATGAGCATATGACTAATATTGGGTAGGAGGAAATAATGTCATTTGATTCTGAATGAAGCCAAGGCTTCCCTCTCCCTGAAGATTGTTCAAGAGGACACATCTTTGCTAGCTGGGGGGATAGTGAAGTGGGACTGAATTCTTTTTTTTTTTTTTTAATGAGACAGTCTTGTTCTGTCATCTAGGCTGGAGTGCAGTGTCTCAATCTCGGCTCACTGCAACCTCTACCTCCCAGGTTCAAGCAATTCTCCTGCCTCAGCCTCCTGAGTAGTTGAGATTACAGATGCATGCCACCATGCCCTGCTAAATTTTTTTTGTATTTTTAGGAGAGATGGGGTTTCATCATGTTGGCCAGGCTGGTTTTGAACTCCTGACCTCAAGTGATCTGCCCACCTCAGCCTTCAACATGACGTGCAGTTGAGCTGTCCTCCGGGAGGACTGGTCTCTGTTGGCTCTAATCAGAAGAGGCAGGGGATATACCAAACACTGTTCCCCCAAAGGTAAATATCAGTGAGGATGTCATACAGGGTCTTCCAAATTGTTGCATGAAAAGATAACAAACACAAAACAAAACAAATTATAATTCTAACCACAAGTACTTGAATGTACTCTAACGTGTAAATACAAAGATAAATATAAAAAATGATACTATTTAAACAAACTAAAATGCACTGGAGAATATTAACACTAAAATGACTATATATCTAATAGGAAATAGGAAAGAGAATATTGGAGGAGCTGAAATGGCCTTAGTCATTCTTTCTCCAGTGTTCTGTTCCTTCTCTCCACCTTTCTGATCTCTCACCTTAATTATACCTAAATCATCAGAAGATTCAGGTGAGAACTCTGCCAGCAAACTGGAATTTTAACCATTTTAAGCATTACAGAAATGAAAGATTTGTATGCCATGTCATTTGGACTTTGACTGGCTTTCCTGAGTTCAACCAGCTGCAGGAATATTGGTGAGATTCATAAGCTCCCTGTGCTTTAGTTTACAAAAGTGGTGAGGAGACTTACATGAAGAGATGCTTGCAAAGCATTTGGTTGTTTCTAGCGCAGAAATAAAAGACAGCTCTTCATATGATTTTAATTATTTACGTGATATTATATATAATATATAAATAATATTTAAATAATTATTTATTTAACACTTTCCCGGTATCTAGAGTGCCTTTCAAAGCTCATTATAACAACCCTATGAGGTAGCTAATGTATCATTAGCATCATCATCATGTTAACAGATAAATCTGAGACTCAAGTTAAGAAACTTCCCCAGAGCCACACTGCTGATAAGTACTAGAGCCACAATTAAATTGCAGGCAGTCTGGATACAGATTCCACCCTATGCATTTAGCTACAAGGTGGTTTTGCCAAGGGGCTACAACTGTTATCACTGTTGTTTAAAAAATTGTCACATACAGCATTCTATTTCCAAATTTGCCAAATAAACCCACGTCACAAGATAGTGATGATAACTTTACTTGTGAATATTAATACGATGATTGAGATGTCAGTATAAGTGGAATTTGAGAAATAAGGACTTTGACAGTCATAAAATCATCAAGTTTTTTAACTTGGAGGTTTTTTTTTGTTTTTTGTTTTTTTTTTAAATTTTTTATTGGATTTTAGGTTTTGGGGTACATGAGCAGAGCATGTAAGACAGTTGCGTAGGAACACACATGGCAGTGTGCTTTTCTTTCCTTCTCCCATTCACCCACATTTGGCATTTCTCCCCAGGCTATCCCTCCCCACCTCCCCCTCCCACTGGCCCTCCCCTTTTCCCCCCAATAGACCCCAGTGTTTAGTACTCCCCTTTCTGTGTCCATGTGTTCTCATTTTTCATCACCCACCTATGAGTGAGAATATGCGGTGTTTCATTTTCTGTTCTTGTGCCAGTTTGCTGAGGATGACGTTCTCCAGATTCATCCATGTCCCTACAAACGACACAAACTCATCATTTCTGATTGCTGCATAATATTCCATGGTGTATATGTGCCACATTTTTCCAATCCAGTCTATTATCAATGGGCATTTTGTTTGATTCCGAGTTTTTTAACTTGTCCTAAGTATTTCTTTACACTCTTCCTTCTTTTGGTGGTCATTAATTTTGAATGATTCTTCCCACTAGACTCCAGCTTTAAAGTAGAAACTGGGACTAAAGTGAGAGAAATGAACACTGACAAATGATAAAAATAAACATTTTGATACTGTGTATGTCCTGGCAATACACCATCACAGTGCTGTGATTTCTCCATTAGAATCATTCCCCAGTTATTTTCAGAGATAAAGACTGAAATTGTAGGGAGGTCCATTCTTCAGAAAACAATAGGCTTATTTTGAGCAATATTTGTGCTTTCTGAGTTACAGAAAAGCAAAGACAAGTGCTATGAATGTGCCTGGGAGTTCTGATGTTGTGTTTAGACCAAGTTCTCTTTGTAAAAGATTAACTGCTTAGCCTAGTGCTAAGACGTGAAAAGGCATTTGTCCACATTCTTCTTAATCATTGGATCTCAAACTCAAGTGTGCATCAGAATTTCCCCAGAGATTTTGATTTAGAAGGTCTGGAAGACAGCCCAGAGGATTCTGAATTTTCAGGTGACTCCAAAGCAGGTGGCCCAAGGACTGTACTTGAAGAAACCTTTCAGGACCAGCAGTCCTAGGAAGCCAGGAAAGGGGTGGTCCAGACTCCTGTGAGCTATTTCAAATCCATGTGCCTGAATTCCACATCAAACTCAAAGAATCAGAAGCTCTGAAGGAGGAAGAACTGAATATGTGCTTCTGATAAGAACTGCTGAAGTTTTCTGCAACACTTCCTGAACTTGTTGTGTTCTGAAGTTGTGATTTGATGGCTGTGTTGGGTGAAACCCCAGAAATTCAGGCCTTTTGTATGGCCAAATAGGTAGGGACTTCCTTATAGCCCTCTTACTAAAGCTCTAGGCATATTGCTTTTTTTTTTTTTAATTTTTTATTGGATTTTAGGTTTTGGGGTACATGAGCAGAGCATGCAAGACAGTTGCGTAGGTACACACATGGCAGTGTGCTTTGCTTTTCTTCTCCCCTTCACCCACATTTGGCATTTCTCCCCAGGCTATCCCTCCCCACCTCCCCCTCCCACTGGCCCTCCCCTTTTCCCCCCAATAAACCCCAGTGTTTAGTACTCCCCTTTCTGTGTCCATGTGTTCTCATTTTTCATCACCCTCCTATGAGTGAGAATATGCGGTGTTTCATTTTCTGTTCTTGTGTCAGTTTGCTGAGGATGATGTTCTCCAGATTCAGGGGAAAGAATTCCCTGTTTAACAAATGGCATATTGCTTTTTTTTTTTTAAAAAAAAATGGGATTCCACATAACGCTTATTCGTTTGTTTGTTTGTTTGTTTGTTTGTTTTTGGTATATTGAGGATAGAGTGTTCAGCCAAAAAAAAAAAAAAAAAAAAAGAAGAAGAAGAAAAATTATTTTAAAACCACAACCACAGAATTAATATCAGAGATTTCACTAAGGCCATATAGTTAATATTGATCATTTTGAACCAGCTTTGTATCCGGCTTCATTTTCCCTTTCTCCTACACAAGGTGTGATATTGAGGGAGTGACTCAAATCATGAGAATCTCTGAATTTAAATGTTAACAAGTGATATTAACAAACTTAATGTTTTTGTAAGCCCATGACCTAAAATTCACAGACACACTTTTCATTTTACTATTGTCTAAAGATAATGTTACAGAAATAATCATAAAAGTCAATAAATTGAAAGTTAAATCCATAAGTTAGTTACAACTGATTTTTCACAAGCTTTCCACTTCCACCCAGCTATCAGCATCAAGAAAAAGGCTGATTTATTCTCTGTATGCTTCATAATGAGCGCATGGACTGAATGAACTGAGTGTTCTATTTATTCCTGGTTACAAACTGACAAGGTTGCCACTGGACCAAGAAAAATGTTTCTAGTGTGATTATTAATATCTGTTAAGAACCCAGAGTCTGGATTGTGACCATAAAATTTATAATACAAAATTTATAGTCTGTCAAACACTGAAAGTCAAAAACTAAAAACAAGAAACAAACTAAATGTAAAAACATAAATGGACTAAGAACAAGAGTTAACTACTTGATGGAAAGTTTTTTTTCTTATTAAAAATATTTTTGTTTTAATAGGGCCATCTTAAGGTTCAAAATCAACTAATTAAAATAATTTGTACAGAAAATGCTTATACTCGCAATTTCTGATTTTGCTGCACGAGGAAGAGGGTGATAACCAATGAAATGACTAAAGAAGTTTAAAAGTCATTTAGATCACGACTTTGACCCGTTCTGCTCATCAGATTTGTCTTTACCAGAGCCTCCAGGCACCAAGTATGACCCATGGACACTTTATTCTTTTCTGTCTCCCTAAGCAGCCAAAAATGCCAGAAAGATAGTTCACAGTTAAGCTCAAGATGGAGAAGAAATACAGTAAAATGTATTGTGGCTGAGGATAAAAATGTTTAAAAAATATTTTCAATATTCTCTTTGCACAATCAACCATTTAACAAACATTGATTGAGTATCTTCCACTCCTAGGCATTGGGGATGCGAAAAGGAAGCATTTGTTTGTCATCTAGGAGAGAGGTTTCAGTCCTGTAGTAGTGGACCAGTATTGAGCTGTGAAATCAATACAATAGGTTGTTATCACCGTTTTTATCTTCAAAAATAGATTAAAGTACAAAATATTAAAGTACGGGAATATATTATTTCATGGAGCGTGTTTCAGTCTGCATCTGTGTAAATGTGAGCATGTGTGTGTGTTCCAGATCACAATGAGAAAATGTATTTTGATGATAGCTGAATTTAAAAAGTTTAAAAGCCTCTGTTAAGAATCAGCCAAACATGAGAATTGCTTGAACCTGGGAGGTTCTGCAGTGAGCAGAAGTTGTGCCACTGCACTTCAGCCAGCCTGGGTGACAGAGCAAAACTCCGTTCCCCGTCAAGCCCGAAGAAATAGTCTGTCAAGTACAGAATTAAAACAAAGAAGTGTGATCGGTGCTTTTCTTTTACGATGTGGAAGAGTAACCCTAAAATCTAAAGAGAAAGAGTGGCTACCTCTGCCAGGAGGGTTGGAAATGACCACCGAGGACAGTCTTGATAGTCAAACTAGGTCCCAAATGATGAACTTGGAAATAGA